CATGATAAATTTTATGCACTTGGCTCTAGGCTAGATGATCCCATACTACGTCTTTACTTTAGCCATATTATACCAACTCCCACTACGCTTAAAAGGTTTGGCGGCACCCCCCCCTCACTGCCACCTTGCATCCCCGTCATTAAAATCGTAATGGGCAGAAAGTAATCGAATTATTCTATCTGGGTAAATGCATTTTGGCTTTTTTGACTCCTCCGACTTTCAGAAATCAAGAGCGTGACGTGATGTGACACACACTGTCTTTTATATAGGTTAGATATTCCATTAATACACTGTCTTTTATATAGGTTAGATATTACATTAACACACTGTCTTTTATATGGATTAGATATTCCATTAACACACTGGGGGGCACAACCTAAAGATTGTTTGTTTGTTTGTAATTAAGCACAAAGCTACACAATGGGCTACCTGTGCTCTGCCCACCACGGGTATCGAAACCCGGATTCTAGCGTTCTGGGGGGCACAACCTAAAGAAGTAAATAGTAATACGCTTGTGCAAAAACAACAACATTTTCTTAAAACCTATTTTAAATCTTCCCCGTTTTTCAAAGTATTATTCTACTAACATGGACCAGGCATGGTCTAGTGATTGATAAGTCAGACTACGTTACTAAGGGTCTAAGGTTCGATAAGTAACGTCACTGAACGCGCAAAGAACTTTAAGTTGTGAATGTGTTTTAAAAGTGATAATCAATCCCGTTATTTGGTTCAACTCTCTTGTGGCGGTGGGTACTGCTGGATGACTTCCCTTCCTTTGCTCAATAGTTCAAAATTAGGGACAGCTGTATCTGACTTTTAAAGGTCTCTGACTTAGCCGTTTAGTCCAGGTGCGGATAAGGTGTCATTCAGGTTGAAAATTCCAATTGTAATTTTACAAACACACATTGCTCATCATAGCACTTCAGTTACCCGTGTTATTTCCCAACCCTATAAGTAAAATATAACCTTACTGGTTTAACAAGAGCCCAAGGTTAGTTCCCTTTTGTAGATTTAACTGAGAACGTCAGTTTTACGAATTTGTGTATATACAAACTGGTGGTGACCGATTAGAATTTAGAACTTGCTTGGGGAAGCTAAAAATAGTCATTGTATGCGGATAAAATCAGTTGTAGAGAATCCAGCACACTTGACAACTAGTCCAAGCTGTCCAGTGTTTATTGATTAGGCTATATGAATGTAAACTGCACCACATCAGTAGAGTTACTTTTAAACCGTTCAAAAATGAGAAATTGGGGATGAAATTTCAGTCATGAAATAAAGTCGTAAAGTAATTTGTGGTATAATGTGACATCAATAGAGCTGAATAATCAACGTAAAAGGCTTAAGGTCATTTAGCGCTCGGCCAATACCAGCTTTACGATGATTGGTGGAAGCTAAGTAGATGAAATTCTTATTGGACGAAGTGAATAATTGCAAGAAACTATCACATGTAGTTAATAAACTGTGACAGCTGAGTTGAACTACTATAATCTTTCAGTTACAGGAGCTTATCAGTTCTTAACATTCTTTGGAATAGCATAAATTTGATAGGTTAATGTTTACAACCGACAGAAAGCTGGAAAGTAAAGTTCTTTGAGATTTAGAAGCTATGGCTGTTTCGCTTGGTATATTAGCATTCGGGGACAGTCCCGAAGATGTCTGACAGATTGTTGACTTTATTCACAGCTTCCGCTCAGTCTCACCGTCGCTATAATTTCAATGATTCTGATGCTGGGAGGGGCCATTTGTTTCATTCAACGTCGGACAAAGCGGCATGGAAAGGATCGTTGTTCAAGTCTGTGTGTTCTGTGTTTGTGCTGTTCTCATCCTAAAGAACAAAATACCAGCGAAGAGATTGCACTTCGACAAGGAATGCCGGTAAACTCTCGCAAAATGGTTATCAATCCAAACTACTGCAGCCAAGCCGACGGTGTCACATCCAAAGGTATTGAAATACATTAGTTACCGTGCAAGGCTAGTACAAGTTGTATTAATTAAGGTTAAACGTATTTCTTTACTCTATTTTCGTGCTCAGACATTTCCATTCTTAGCACTTTATTTAGTACTGGAAAGAAACACATCTCTCTATAAATAACATTTCCAAAAGGAAAAGATCAACTGAAGCTTTATACTCAAGTTGAATGTGTACTTCGTCGTCATCAACAATCTTCAGGTCAGGAGTTTCATTAGTGGTGTGGAAGGCTGTCTGTAAAGATGAAATAAAAAGTGTAGAAGTCTGACTAAGCAGTAAAAGTTTAAATGACTATGGAAAAGATCCAATCGAGGTGATAAAACCACGTCGTCTATTTTATTTTGATTTCATTCGATTCTGAAGCACCTTCCTAGTTTCTTAACTACATTCAAATATTTTCTGCTAACCTCTTAAATTATATTTGTAAAATAAATACTGTATACATATTATAATACTAATGATGTTCAAAATGTGATATCTAAAATCAAAGGTACGAGAATTAGAATTTTTATTAATATAAATAACTTCAACAACTGGTCAGAGTAATCTTATGTGAAAAACATAATTATATAAATTATAATATAAAATGAAATTATTATAAACAATAAAGTCTTCAAAACGATTTTTGTTAACCGAAATCTGAAGTTCTTAGTATTACTTTAGCTCTCTTTCTCTATCTCTTTATTTCGAGCTATTTAATTTATTCATAAATAGACATAAAACTATGTATGTTTTGTTTAGTGTCAGAGTGCTATAGCATGAAAAATAATTCCTCCATTTAAAATTGGGTTTTTAAAATTTAAGTAAAACCACTGAATTTACAGTTTATAGTTTCAAGATACAATATCCAAATATTTTAACTTGAAAACATAAGTTACACACTAATTTATTATTAAATAATAGCATTCTCAATATGTTTATTACAGATGTTAACATTTAATGGTGATATTACTTGTCTTATTACTTGGATGTATAGATAAGCTGGGGATATTACTTGTCTTGTTACTTGGATGTATAGATAAACTGGTGATATTACTTGTCTTGTTACTTGGATGTATAGATAAGCTGGGGATATTACTTGTCTTGTTACTTGGATGTATAGATAAACTGGTGATATTACTTGTCTTGTTACTTGGATGTATATATAAATTGGTGATATTACTTATCTTATTACTTGGATGTGTACATAAACTGGTGATATTACTTGTCTTGTTACTTAGATGTGTACATAAACTGGTGATATTACTTGTCTTATTACTTGGATGTGTACATAAACTGGTGATATTACTTGTCTTATTACTTGGATGTGTACATAAACTGGTGATATTACTTGTCTTATTACTT